GACAAAAGCTTTACAAAAAATGATCTGTGCAACAAAACATCCATCATCACATGGATACAACAAAAAAGAAAAAAATTGTTTTTTTTCCGTGATGAGAACTCTTAGGATCTATTTTATTAGATACAAAGGAAACATGGCATAAAATTTACCAGCTTAATGATTTCTAAGTGGAAGTGTACAGTTTAGTGACGTTCAGTATATTCACACTGTTGTAAAACAAATCTCCAGAACTTGGTTCATGTTGCAAATAGGAAACTCTATACCCACTAAACCAGAAATCTCTTTTTCCCCCCTCCCCCAATGCCTGGTAACCACCATTCTACTTTCTGTTTCAATGAAATTGACTACTTTAGATACCTGGTAGAAGTGGAATCATACATTATTTGTCATTTTGTGACTGGCTTATTTCATTTAATATAATATTCTCCAGGTTTAACCATGTTATAGCATTTCCTTCATTTTTAAGCCTGAATAGTATTCTGTTGTATGTATACACCACATTTTATCCATTCATCCATCAGTGTACATCTTTGGATTGCTTCCACCCCTTGACTCTTGTGAATACTACTACTATGAACACAGATTTACAATATCTCTTTGACACCCTGCTTTCAATTCTTTTGGATATATGCCCACAAGTAGCATTGCTAGATCATACGGTAGTTCAATTTTTAATTTTTTGAGGAGCTGCAATGTTTTCCATTGTGGATACATCATTTGACATTCCCACCAAGAGTAAACAATAATTCCAATTTCTTCACATCCTTTCCAGCACTTTTTTTTCTTTTCCTTTCTTTTTCCTTTCCTTCCTTTCCATTCTCCCTCCCTTTCTTTTTTCTTTGTAATCATCCTAAAGGACATGGATATCTCATTGTAGTTTTGTTTTGCCTTTCTCTGATGATTAGTGATGTTGAGCATCTTTTCACCTTTCATTTCCTTGGTTAGGTTTATTCCCAAGTATTTTATTCTTTTTGATGCTATTATAAGTGAAATTAGTTTCTTAATGTCCTTTTCAGATTGTTGATGGTGTATAGAAACACAACTGATTTTCATGCATTGATTTTGTATCCTGCAACTTTGCTGAATTCAGTTGTTAGTTCAAGTAGGTTTTTTTCATTTTTGCTTTTTTTAATTTTAATTTTTAATTGAAGTATAGGTGATATGTTCTAATAGTTTTTTTTCCTCCTAGTAGTTTTCTTGGGGGAATATTTAGGGTTTTCTACCTATAAGATCATGTCATCTAATAATAGACATAACTTTACTGCTTCCTTTCTAATTTGGTTGCCTTTTCTTTTCCTTGCGTATTTGCTCTGGCTAGACTTCCAACATAATGGTAAATAGAACTGTAGAACTGGCGAGAGTGGGAATCCCTGGAAAAGCTTTCAGACTTTGACTATTATGTTAGCTGCAGGATTTTCTAGGATGGCCTTTATTATGTTGATGTCATTTCCTCCTATTTCTAGCTTGAGTGTTTTTATCATGAAAGAGTGTAGAATCTTATCAAATGCTTTGTCTGCATCGACAGGGATACTCATGTTGTTTTCACATGTTGAACCATTCTTGGATTCCTGGAATAAAGCCCACTTGGTCATGGTGTATAATCCTTTTAATGTGCTGTTCAATTTGGACTCCTAGTACCACCTTCATCTTCTCTGTATTGTTCCAATTTTAGTACACATGCTGCCAGAGTAAGGACTCCTGTGGCTTTTTAAAATGTGGCATAATGTACTCTGAATTCCATAATGTACTTTACATTTCAGTGCAATTACTGAATTACTCGTTACCAAATGAGTAAATGCCTCAAAGAGCAAGAATTCTTTTCCATGTTTGAAACGCTGATAGAAATTATGAGACGCTTACTAGTTCATCTCATTGCTTCCTTTGCAGAAATGGCATCACCTCCTACATAATATACTTCAGCTGTAATGTCGGAAAGCGACTGCTTCTTTGGAAGGTGCTCTGCAACAATGCGACCCATAGAAATCATCCCGATTTGCAGGTTCTAGGAAACCCCATGAAACTTGCTTACAAATATACCCAAATGGTTTAAAATACTAAGAGTATGAGTAAGATGTACCGGGAATTCCGTTCTTCTCGAACTACGAAATCAGTAATTCAACCTTTAAGGTGCTTAAAACACAGCCCCTCCCGATGGTAATGTGCGGAGTGTGTGGAGCATAGTGGTGGATTCATTTTTTTCTGCCTGAGTAGAGATCCGAACATAAACGCCAGATACTTGGGACCATGAAGGTCACAATTCTTTTAAGTTTCAGGGACCACTTAACTGTTGTCAGCTAACAACAGCTACGGGGAATTTCTGCTTCTGTATCACAACTCATCGGACTTGTTGGGATTGGCCCAGAGGGAGGAAAAGAAAAATGTACATTTCACTTATTTAACAGGTGTTTACAATACCTAGGGATGTCTCAACTTCCGGGAAGTCTCCTGCCAAAGGTGGCCCAGACAGGGGACAAACGAAGAAGAGAATCTCTCCACAGGGCGCGGGTCCCAAAAAGAACCTGGAGGAGGACACACGGAAGCCGCCAAACGAGAAAAATCCAGCACCAGCTAAAGTCCTCTCAGGTTCTACGCCTGCGCCCTGAGCGACGCTACGCTACCCGTGATGACGCATGCTCCCTGAGCTGCGCGCCCCCTCACTCCCCGCACGCGCATCGGCGCCTGCGCAGCGAGGGTTTCTCCTCACCCGACTCCACTCTTGCCGGGTTAGGGCGTTGTTGGCTTTTAGGGCGTGGGGTCGGGTGCTTTGTGGCACCAGCTGTGTGGTACTTGCCAGTTACCCGATAGGCGGTGCTCTGGCCTGGAATGAAAGGTTAATTCACAGACTTTTTAATGCAGTGTGTTTTGCGACGCTCTGACGCCTCCGCCTCTCCTGCTGCGGCCCTCCGAGAGCGCTCTGGAAAGCTGTTCATGGGGGAATTTTAATCTTGTTTGGAAGCAGCCCCGCCCAGGACTTCTTTTTATCTAAATATCCAGGAGGTGTCGGACACCCCAGAAATACCCCTTATTTATCTTCCATAGGAAGCTGAATTATAAAGTTGGGTAATACTTTGAAGAAAGGAAAGAAGAAAGGAAAACTAAGCGCGCGCGCGCGCACACACACACACACACACACACACACACACGTTTACCTATACACAGAATAATTTCGAAGAATGGACCAGCAACTGCTAACGGATTACCTCAGGGGACAAGAGACTGGGTGGGTGAAGGACACGGGCAAGAGAAATGTTTTTGGGTTTTTGTTTGTTTGCATCCCCTGAAATTGCCCAGTGTGCATGTATCTTTTTTTTTTTTTTTTAATGTTTGAGTATTTCCTTGACTCCTCTATCAAAATGTAGACACAAAGTTGGAAGTTTAAGAAGTCTGAGTAGAAATCAGTAAACTGGTTAGAATTTTATGCACATGTTAAGATAAAACGTCTTGTGTAAACCACCATGTCTTCCTGTATAGTTCTGGACAGAGATCTTTTGGGGGTTGGGGCCAGGGGCATATAGGAAAAGAGGAACCGGGTACTTTCGGGAAATTATTGGCATTAGTGGCATACAGGAAACATATCTTTATCATCTCAATTGTTTTATGTTCCCTTTAGGTTTGACAAATTTAAAAGGTAAATTCTAGTGGGAACTCACTAAATATGGACTTTTGATGTTTATTTTTGTAAAGGAAATTGAACGGGTGTGACTGGCAGGGTTGAGACCTGAAGTTCCTCTTCTAGATAAGGAAAATTTCTCTTAGCCAGTAATCTCCAGACTGATTATAGTATACCCCTGCCCCCAACCTTGCAAGATAATTTCATGCTTCCTCCTCTAAGGGAGGTCATGAGGAAAAAAACTAGTCAATTGGGCATAAGAGGATTTGCAGGCAAGAAGCCCATAATGAAAGACATCTCATACCTCTCATTCCCTGGGTCAATAACCCCTTCAGTTTCATTCATCAGTGAGTGGTTAGTGGATCTAGAGCATAGGAATTCAGCACCAGAGATTGGGAGTCCCAAAAGTAGGAAGTGGGAACTCAAAGGCCACAGGTTTATAATGTTGCTTCTTAGTTTGCCTTGTTTTTAAGTAGGAAGCCAAAAGTTGAACTTCCAAATAAGAAGTTTCAGGAATAGTGTTTCTTAAGTAATTCCCAATGTCAGTACATGGACAAAGAAATAAATGAAGCCTAGAACACATCAATCTGACTGAACAATGAACAGCACCTGGAAATAGGAATTCCCCACAGAGGAGAATAACCAAATCACAAAAGAGCATACTTAGTAAAATTTATTTTTTTTTAAAAAAGAAAACAATAATTTATGCCCTTGGCAAAATAAAGGATCTTGTCAATATAAATGTTTCTTAGAAAACATATGAAAAGATAATATAATATATATATCAATAAATCAATATTAACCTTACAGAAAAAGCAATGATTCCATAAAAATGATAAGTGAGGATCTTTCTGGCCCTTACACCACAGTATTTTGGGGAGGTCCTATGATTCCTTTTTTTTTTTTTTTCATATAGATGTGCCCTCATTTTAAGAAACCCTAATGTACACACATCTAAATTTAGAAAGTTCATTGATTACCTTTAAATCAATAATTCTACTTATTTACGTATGTATGTATGTATGTAATACACTCCATGTGGGGCTAAAACTCATGATCCCAAGATCAGGAGTCACGTGCTCTACCGACTGAGCCAGCCAGGTGCCCTGTACAATCAATAATTCTTTTAAAAAATCAACAAGAAAGTTTCTGTAAGGGATCCTTCAAATTAGAAAATTTTTCTACCGTGTTTAAAATATAATTAACAAAATACATATGTCCCCAACTTCTTTCGTTTATAGCTCTATTGCATAAAGCAAGGTATACCTGAAGTGAAGCAGTAACAGAGTTGGGCCTCAGACTGACTGGAAAGAGTGTGCTCTTACTTATAGCATGAGGAAATGTTTGGGGGCACAAATTCTCTCAATCTTTTATTTCTCTCATCATGAGCTTTTTTTACTTTTCTTGTCTCTACCACTTTCTGGTAAATTTTGCTCACCTAGTACTCTCAGGGAAAAAGGAGGAAGTCATACAGGAGGGGGCAGATTCCTGAATTAGTGAGTCACTCCAGCAGAGTAAAGTGGGAGGAGATTCTGGGATTCGGTGTGTGTACGTGGACATAGTTGGGGGAAAGCAGGAGCAATTCTGAACCCTTGATCTGCTTTTGAGGCCCCTCTCCCAGTAGGGGCATCTGATTCCTCTTTAGGAATAGCAACGCCCAGTCCAGCCCTCCCTGGATGGGACACATACTCAAGAGAATGGACTTGGGCCTATTTGTCACACTCCTCCTGGCTCCCTTCAGCACAATGGTAGTGCAGCTCACAAAACTCCTGGATCCGGCTACAGGCCTCCAGCATCATCACTTTGGGGACCGTGATTACCACTCGGAAGAAATTCGGGTACTCGAAGCACTGCAGAAATAAGAGCCTGTTATTTTTGTAGCAATTGAATCTGGTACTAAACCTCCCTAAAATGATCAGGGTCCTAATCAGCAGGAAGCAGTGATGTCATTGACTCAGAGCTGTCAGTTTGCTCAGTTCCACCATGGAAGGTGAAATGAAATGGGGTCACTTATGTCAGGGGGTTTTAAAACAGACCCAGGAGGTTATTAAGGAGATGGACTTTAGGGACCTCTTCACTGGTGAATCTGTGAACTTTTGAACTGGGCCAAACCACCAATCTTACAAGGACTCAGCCAGAATCCTTATTTACTCCTTCCTGCAACTTGCTGTAGTAAGTGTCTTTGCTCAGTGATAGCCTTAGTAACAAATTATATTCAGCCAAGATTAGTTTTCTGCCACCAATCAAAATTCTATAAACAAGAAATACAAGCATTTCCTTTTGTCCTTAAAAACCCTTGACTTTTGTTCCGGGGGGATGGGGAGGGTGGGGAGTGGGAGGACACTATTTGGATTGCTGTCTAAATCTGTGTTCCCCGAATTCCAATTCTGAGACACCAAATAAATGTTTTTGTTTTATTTTGGTTCTGCTTCTTTTCTCAGTTGACACCATCATTGAGGTGCTAAGTCTATAACAGTTAATTCATCTTGAAAGAGACTTGTGGGACAGGCTCATCTCCCCTCACCTAAAATGTTCCACCACAACTTTTCTCCCCAGTACAGATGGGATAATGATGGGGGAGAAACACATCTTAAATCGAGGCCATGAGACACATCAGTTTAAATCTTATCAAATGAGAATACACTTTGTTGGGGCAAAAAAAAAAATCAGGTTAAAGACCAGCTCAGGGAGAGCTCCTGAGGCTCTAGAAACAGTTGAGAATGTCCTGAGAGACACACAAGCACTCACCGTTGCTGGGAGGCAGTGGACTGATTGCTCAGCAACTAACCGCTCTGTGAACTCCACATCGTTCTCAAATTCTGGGAAATGTTCCATCTCAATTCCAACCTATACCAATAACAGGGAGAGGCAAATTTATCAGAAGGAGGGAAAACAGACCAACTCCCTATGCTAGAAATTAAGGTAGGGACTGCTCTACAAAGTATCTTGGAACTCCACTACTGAAAACTAAGAGTTCTAACACTTATGAGGTCATGGAATTTTTCATAGGGAAGAGAGAATTATATTTATATTAATATTTAAGTTTTTTGAAGAGTTCCTTCCTGGATGATGATAAATGAGAGCTGCAAACAGAATGCCAGTATTTCTCTAAAAAGCATTACAGGCCAGGCGATTCTGGACTGCACGGAACAATCCCACCTATTGCAAGATACTTGGTATCCCCAGTCCACGAAATGCCAAGAGCATCCCCCCACAGCTGCCATAAGGCATTCTGCAAACAAACAAAACTCCCATATATTCCCAAACACCGCTAGGGAACCAGTATCATTCCTAGTTGAAAAGTACAGTGGTGTGGAAAGCCTCTTATTTGTGTCTTTTCTTTTTCTTATTTGTATCTTCTATCTTCCCTGTATCTACCCATAAAATGATTTTCTGAATCAAGGAATTAAGAAGTCATTTTAAAGGGTGTTTTGTTGTTGTTGTTGTTTAACACTGAGGTTCAATCATGTTAGTGGGCAATTCAGAATAAGGAATTCCTAAACTGCCTGGCCCGGAAGCTCAGTTGGTTGTCTTTGTGAGTGCTGCAGACTGGCTTGTTTGCCCTATACCAACTACCCGCCACCCACATACTTACCATGAGGTACATGGCCCCGGAAGGACACACTGGCTGGAGTCCAGGGATGGCAGCCAAGGCCCCATAGCAAAGATCAGCATTGGACTATAACAGGAGGCAGGAAGATGCCAAGGGACAAAATTTAAGTGAAAGAAAACCAAGTCATTAAAAGTAGAGCCCACACCAAAGGCAGGGAACCTAAATTTGCTCTGTTGGCATAAAGGGTCAACAAGAAAAAGTCTTATCCCTGGAAGCTTTCAACCAGGAGCTGAGTGAAGTGCCAGAAATGAGAGAAATGTCAGGGTGGCTCGTTACACTGATGCCACCTCCTGATTTGGAAGCCCCGTAATGGAACACTGCTCCATAAATGAGGACCCATTATCCCTAATCCCACGGGTGACTTTCCCTGACTGTCAGAGTGGAAGGCCACGGGCTGTACTTACCTTCAGGAGGCTCAGGGTGTTTTGGTAGAACTCCTGAGGGGTGCGATGCAGGATGCTTTTCAGAGCTCCCTGGACAATGGTACAGGGTCCCAGGATCCGCTGACTCAGCTTCACCAGCCCATCTCGGATCTAAAGTGCCCCGGCAAACAGATTATTTAGCCTTCCTTAAGCATTCCAGCTTTGGGGATTCGTGTTCTGACCACTCTTTTCATCAGGTTTTACATCTCTGAAGAAGCGATGGTGCCTAGTGGCATTCTTGGATTAGACTGCTTGGGTTTTAGCCCAGCTCTGTCACATACCTCCTGTATGACTCTGGGCAAATGATACAATGTCTTAGTGCCTCACTTTTCTCAGCCATAAAAGGTAGATGATACTAATACTGGCCTCATCAGGTTGCTGGAAGGATTACATTAAAATGATGTATTTTGAACACCGGCACATCGTAAGCCTGCAAATAACACCCGGGATCATTACTGCTATTGTTTCCTTTTTTGTGGTCTGAAAACTAGAAGCGGATGGAACTTCTTCACAGAGCCAGGTACAGAAAAACTGAGTTTTGGAAAGGAATAACTAGTACCCTCTTTACCAGCATTTTTCCAGGCACCCAGAACTATAGGACCAAGGAGAAGGAAAAAAAAAAAAAAAACACTACAACAACAAAAAAATCACCTCCTAACCACTGTGCGTGCAAAGTAAATATATACATATATACTAAATTAGAAGTACCATTTCACCAAATTGTTCTTACCTCGTTGCCAAAAATATCTCTTCGGTCATGAATGAGGATCCAACCCAACCTCCAGCCAGGAACCAGCCAGCGCTTGGCCAGTCCTCCACAGGACAGGATGGGCACGTTACTGCTGAGGCTGGCCAGAGGCTCAAATGTGGAATCCGAAAACACCTGAGGAGAGGAGATGCTTGTGAGAGTTGTCTCCTGGCTTACTTTCCTCCAGATCCCATGCCTCCCACCCTTTACTTTGTATAACTAGGGACGGGGCCTTGGATTCCTGGGCTCATCCTACCCCAAAGCATGAATGGGAGCCCAAGAGGCTTCAAAGGAGACTGTCCCAAGATATTTAACCTGGTGTCTGGTCTGGATTAAAGGAAGCCTACAATGAGGACACTGACCCCCGGCCCGGGAATATGTATATGTATAACTCAATGAAGCTTGCTCTAGGGAATGAATGCCTGTTGGGATTAGAAATCTAAAAGTAAAATTGGGGCCCACAACTGTTTGTCTGAAGTTCCAGGACCCATATTTGTTGCAGAATGCAGAATTTTTTGGATTTTGGAGACGTTATGTAGCACATGTATCATATATTACATAACGCCCCAAAGGCAGTCGGGAACAGCACTCCTAATCAAGCAGATTAACATTTCTGTCCCTTTCCCTACATTTTTGACAAATATATAGATCTGTAAGTGAGATACATCAAAAATCTTCAAAAACTTTGTATCAGGTCAAGTCAGGTTTTTCCACCAAATGAATTTCAAAAATCTTCAGATTTTCAGCTTTTTGGACTTTGGAAAATTGGCTAAGGTGTCGTAGATCTATATGTATGCTTTTTTAAGGTGGGGGGAGGAGGGGTAGTGGGAGAGGGAAAGAGACCATCTCAAGCAGGCTCCACACCCAATGTGGAACCTGACACAGGACTCCATCTCACAGAACTGAGATCACGACTTGAGCTAAAATCAAGAGTCAGGTGCTTAACCGACGGAGCCACACAGACACCCCAATCTATGATTTAAGAGTGCAGGGTTACTGATTTGCTGTACTGAAATGATTAGCAATTATAGAATTACTTCTGGTTATTCTAGATGCTAAAGGTCTCATGAAATAATTTGGAATTGAGATTATTGTAGTGATATATCCTGCCCAAGACTTACCATGTCTCCATAGATCTCATCAGCTAAGATGGGTACGCACTGCCTTGCAGCCACTGAAAAGAAGAAAAATGGGCTGAAATCATTTACTGTGAGTTGTCTTAGCAATTAATATTCACCTGGACTTGTTTTATTTTGCATTCCATGTTTGTGTGTTTTGTTTTCCTCTTTAAGAACTATATACTCTTCTTATACTCTTCTAGGGTACAGAGCCTAAATTTTCCATTTAATCAACTGGATATTTCAAACCCTCTCTTCCGCATATGGGAATGGTGCAGGGACAAATGTTGCCTTTTTCCCCCTTGTAGACAAGTCCTACCTTTCCAGTGGCATGTTATTCACTGGGAAACCCCGTGGAGCTCCCCCATTTCCATCCTCAGCTTAGAATGGACTCTTTTCTCATTCCAGGAAACAGATAAAGGATTCCATCCCCATATCTGCTCCTGTCAAATGAAGTCTGATGGACTTACCAGCCAGAATTTTCTGGAGATGACTTCTACTGAACACTGACCCACAGGGGTTTGATGGATTGTTAATGATGAGACAAGCTGTCTTTTCATCAATCAAAGATTCCAGTTGTTTCAAGTCAATTTCCCAAGACTTCTCTGGCTAGGGAGGAAGAAAGGGTGAGACCAAGATGATTCTGAAAAATGTAGGGGTAACATTCACCTAACACTGTCTTCTAAATAAAATGTGTTTGTGGCCTCCACCACCCACTTCCAGATCTTTCTGTGCTAAGATAATTGTCATATATTATTATGACATAATAATTGAGCACTTTGGTCTAAAAGTAAAAAGTTGTTTACCAATAAATTGTAGAGTTTGACCTCAATTCCCATCGATTCAGCCAAAGTCCTGTAGAGAGAGAAACCAGGTCTCGGAACTAGGATGTTTTGTCCTGGGTTGGCCAACACAGCTAAACAAAGTTCAATAGCCTGACTGCAGCCACTAGTCAGAATGACATCCTGAAAACAAATAAAAGGCTCACTTTGTTAGGAGTTCCAACAGCAATAGAAGAAAAGAGATTATCCAATGGGTGAGTGGCAAGCAATAATAAACTTACTTTTACAAGTTCTAAGTGAAGTAGTAAAGGACTATACTAAGCCAAAATTAAAAGAAATTAATGTTTATGTATATCCGTATCTAAATGTTGAAAATGTTGACCACTTAAAAGACGTAAATTACTTGGGGAGCCTGGGTGGCTCTGTTGTTTAAGCATCTGGCTCTTGATTTCAGCTCAGGTCATGATCTCGGGGTCATAGACTCGAGCCCCAAGTCAGGCTCCACACTCAGCAGAGAGTCTGCTTGAGATTCTCTCTTTCCCTCTTCCTCTGCCCCTCCCTGCTCTCTCTCTCTCTCTAAACTAAATAAATAAATCTTAAAAAAAAAAAAGAAGAAGAAGTAAATGACTTTAAAAAGGACATAGCAGCTGTGACTCAGCATATTTCCATGAGAGATCATTTTGACCTTGGACTTTTTCACTTGGCTAGTTATTTTGACCAGAAATTTAAAGCCTGACTCTTCTCTGAAATAAAGACTGAGGGCACCTCTTATGTTAAAAAATATCAACCACACAGAGTAGACAATAGAGGGAGAGGAACATTTAAACTTGGCACTGCCATCAATTTGACATGCCATAGTACCTTGATCTTCCCAAATGAGTGGACTTCAGGTGAATGAGGGAAGCTACAAATTTAAGAAAAGATCCTATTGGTAAAAGTTTTAAAAATGTTACTTATTTGGTGTTCATGAATTATTGTTTTTTAATGAACTTTTGTGAAGAATCAAATGTAGGGGGACCTCGGAGTCCTTTGAGGCTCCTTAAGACAGGAGACCACATAAGTTGTATGCAACATCATCATCATATTGTAATGACATTAAATATAATCATGGATTAGAGGATGCCTGGGTGGCACAGTCAGTTAAGCATCTGCCTTCGGCTCAGGTCATGATCTCAGGGTCCTGGGATCAAGCCCTGCATCAGGCTCCCTGCTCAGCAAGGAGTCTGCTTCTCCCTCTCCCTCTGCCTGCCATTCCCCCTGTTTGTGCTTGCTTGCTCTCTCTCTCTCTCTCTCTCTCTGACAAATAAATAAAGAAAATATCTATATCTATATCTATATCTATATCTATATCTATATCTATATATAAATAACCATGGATTGGCAGCTTCACTCTATGAGAAGTCCTCAAATTGCCAAAGGGAAATTCTCCACACCTTCCCCCCGCCCCCGAAACCCTCATTCTTTGTGGGACAGAAACAAGGAAGAAGATACAGATTGTCCAATACTGCTTCAGAGCTGATACATTGTCTAAGACTTACCTTAGCTTCCAGGGGTGCCTCAGGCCGATGGTAGTAAGAAGCAATCTCCTCCCGACTGGATAAGTAGCCTGAAAGCGTAGAAGGGAGAAGCTGACCACTATGCCTGAGAGCCAAGAGGGCTTCCTGTGACCTTCTGCTCCTGCTTAGAGTACGTGCTATTCAGGTTAGCTCTCAGCCACCACAGAGAAAGGAGATTGACCTTATATTTTACATTTTTATAATAAGCGGAAATGTATGGGAGCTCCTGGGTGGCTCAGTCAGTTAAGCATCTGCCTTCGTCTCAGGTCATGATCCCAAAGTCCTGGGACTGAGCACCACATCAGGCTTCCTGCTCAGCGGGTAGTCTGCTTCTCCCTCTCCCGCTCCTGCTCTCTCTCTCTTTGTCTCAGTGTCTCTCTCTCTCTCTCTCTCAAATAAATAAATAAAATCTTAAGAAAAAAAAAAGCTCAAATGTAAGATTAATAACAAGAAGAACTCTCCAAACTATAAAATATTCTGCACCATCTTGGTTACTGTGATTATGTTTTATTTTTCATAAAAAAAAAAAAAAAGAAAGCAGGATTCAGATTATTTCTAAATCCCTTCCAGGCACTATATTTTTTGAAAAGTTATAATCAATGCATTCAATACAATGGGTCCCTTTTAAGTTTTTTAGATCATATGATATACCTATTTGTGGTTTTGCATAATATTTTTCTTTTACATTCTATTCTTGAACAATATTTCCAAATGTTGGCTTACAAACATGAAGTAGAGTTATCATCATATAAATTATCTTTTACAAAATTGCTTTCCATAAAGATTCCACCTCCAGTCAGAAAGTCCAGATGCACTATTTCATAATGTTCCACTTAATAAAAATAAATGTCCTGAAGTTATACAAATCAGTACTTCCTTAAGTATTCATAAGGAAGACCATTTTCTTTTTTTTTTAAAGATTTTATTTATTTATTTGACAGGAGAGATCACAAGTAGACAGAGAGGCAGGCAGAGAGAGAGAGAGAGAGAGAGGGAAGCAGGCTCCCTGCTGAGCAGAGAGCCTGATGCGGGACTCGATCCCAGGACCCTGAGACCATGACCCGAGCCGAAGGCAGCGGCTTAACCCACTGAGCCACCCAGGAGCCCCTGGAAGACCATTTTCTTAGATATACATTATGATCTGTATTTCTTTTGGCATGAAATGTTCATATCCTTTGAATATCTGTCACGTGGAGAATTGGTTCTGGTTTTTCAGATTGAATCAGTTCCCTAATACTGTATAAATACTGAATAAAAGTTATAAACTTGTTTTATAATCACATTTTGGTCTTTTATTTTTTTTAGATTTTATTTATTTATTTGACAGAGAGACAGAGTGATCACAAGTAGGCAGAGAGGCAGGCAGAGAGAGGAGAAACAGGCTCCCTGCTGAGGAGAAAGCCCAACATAGGGATCGAGCCAGGACCCTGGTGATCATGACCTGAGCCAAAGGCAGGGGTTTAACTGACCGAGGCACCCAGGCTCCCCTTTTTTAAATTTTTGTTGTATGAAACTTTATAAAGTGTAAAAAACAAACCTAAAAGTTTTGTCCCTCAGACCTCTCTGAAGTATTTTTAAAATTCTATTTTATGGGGCGCCTGGGTGGCTCAGTAGGTTAAAGCCTCTGCCTTCAGTTCAGGTCATGATCCCAGGGTCATGGGATCAAGCCCTGCACTGGGCTCTCTGCTCCACAAGGAGTCTGCTTCCCTCTCTCTCTGCCTGCCTCTCTGTCTACTTGTGATCTCTCTGTCAAATAAATAAATAAAATCTTTAAAAATAAATAAATAAAATAAAATTCTATTTTAGTGGGGCACCTGGGTGGCTCAGTTGGTTAAGCCTCTGCCTTTGGCTCAGGTCATGATCCCAGGGTCCTAGGATTGAGCCCCACATCAGGCCCTCTGCTCAGCAAGGAGCCTGCTTCTCTCTGTCCCTCTACCTGCTGCTCCCCTGGTTCTGTTCTCTTTCTGTCAAATAAATAAAAATAAAATCTTTTTAAAAATTCTATTTTAGCATGAAACTGGATTTGTATTCTACATTAGAAATATGTAATTATGGCTTGGCTCTGTGACAACATGGATGGACTCTAGAGGGTATTAGGTCAAGTGAAATAAGGCAGACTGAGAAAGACAAATTCACTTACATGTCAAATCGAAAAAGCAAACAAATGAACGAACAAACAAACAAAAAAGCTAAACCACGCCTATAAATACAGAGAACGAACTGATGGCTACCACAGGGAGACGGGCTGGAGGATGGGCAAAAATGGGTGAATGGGATAAGGGGATCCAGTTATGAAATGAGTAAGTTACGAGGATAAAAGGCACAGCACAGGGAATACAGTCAATGATACTGTAATGCGGTAAATGGAGACAGATGGTCGCTACGCTGTGGTGAGCACAGCACGACATACAGAGATGTTGAATCACTATGTTGAACACCTGAAACTAAGGTAACATTGTATGTCAACTGTATTCAAATAAAAAATAAAAATAATTTTAGAAAAGAATATGTTGCTAGGTGCACATAATAGAGAGATGTGCAACACTGAAATAAAGCCAAAGGATCACTGATTTTATTACAATGCTTGATGAGTAAAAGTTTAATAGATGGAGACAGTTAAACATAAATAAGAATAGGAACAGTTAAAATGGGTGAAGAGGTCAATTGTATGGTGACAGACAGTAACCAGACTTGTGGTGGTGATCACTTTGTAGTATATAAAGTTATTCTATTATACAGCTGTACATCTGAAACAGGGAAAAGAAGGGAAAACCCCTTCTTTATATTCTAGTTTGTTTTTCTCTTTCACCCGAGACATTTAAAACTGCATTTGAATGTGGTTAGAACTCTAGCTAAAATAATCGTCATATGTATGGGACCTGGAGGGTTCAGTAAGCAAGCAGCTGCAATGACACCCAAGGCCTTCCTATTAGAATTAGCAATGATAGGATAGGAGTGCTATCTGAGAAAGAAGGAAGCTTAGAAAGGAGGGCTCCACGTGCCAGAGGAAGCCAGGAAAGAAGCTGGACTTTGCTGGCTATGTTTAAGCATTCTGAGATCGCCTTCCCCAAATCCAAATGACCACTGCATTTTAGCCTTTCCTTGGGAACTGTGCATCAAGGAAGCAAGGAGAACCGCTAGAAATTTATTCCTAATAGAAGGGCACTAAAGATTTGGAAGCCACTGGTTAGAGTCTCAGGAGAAGCTTACCAATGGAGGGGGCATAGCCGTTATATTTCCCCGAGTCCAGGGCATCTTTCATGGCTTGGGTAACTTCAGGGTCTGTAGGCAGGTTTCCAAACACAGTAGGGTCCCCTTTTCATGGGAGAAAAGAAAGAGCCACTAAGATGTTACTTTTCCATGCCCAGTGCTCAGACTCCCCCTCTACTCCCATCTTCTCCAACCAGCTGTAAGGATGGCGGTAAGAACAACAGTGATCGCCCCTCACCCAAGAACCCCCAACTCACCGATCGACAGAGCAATCATGGTTTTGTCTGGATTCGGCTTCACCTTCATGCTGTCCACAATGGCCCGGATGGGATTGAAAGTTTTGTTGGACATGTCTGAAGGCTTCACTGACCATCTGGCCTTCCTGCCTTTCCTTTTTTCTGGTAAGGAGCCTCTCCCACCAATGTTGACATGCATATCCAGAACGGAGGGGAGGCTGCTGTTGCCATTCATCTGAATCACATACGGGTCCATCACTCGTGGAGCCTATGGGAAAAAGGAGGTCCCTGTGACTCTACCAACAGAGCACCATCCTGAGGGGCCATATTTCGACCTACAAATCAGGGTGATTTCACTAAGCATCTCTTTTCAAACTGCCTTCTTTCGCCAAATTTCTCATGCTTTCTTGTGAATGAGGGGAATTTTAAGACCTTCTGCTGAGATAGAAGACAAAGCAAGAACCCACTGTATAACATTAGCAAAGACCGTTCATTGAATACTTATCTACTGTGAGATTTGCAGTGTGCAACCCTAATGCCTGTAAAATTTTAACAGCTTTCAGTGCAACTGAAGGGAAATGACATGAAAACTATGAAACCGTCAAAGCTTATATGTGTTGCCTCCTTTCCAAACAAAGCCTACCCAAGAATCTCCCTAATGCTTCAACAGACCATGTCTTGCCCTCTGCAGAGAAGAACCAGGAAAAACAATTCCACGTGGTTAGAAATTTAGCATTAATCTTGTCATTAGTAAAAATAAAGTCCTGTCCCATAAGCATCTTACTGCCCTGTGGAAAAAGAAGTCAATACACCTGGAGAAAAAAGCTTACATCCCAATTACCACCACCAGATTAGCTGAGGCTTGAGATTTTACCTTCCAGCTAAAGGAGAAACAGCCTCTAAGTAGGGAAACTTGGAAGCTCTCTTAGTGTCCTTCTTTCACAGGTCACAGTGACAACAGCCTCAGGTGCAGTTCTTGACTCCTAAAATAGTCTGCACATATGGGCGTTGGGACCAGAACTTTTGTGCTATTGGTTAGGGTGAAAACTAGGTGGCCAGCCCTCCCTCCCCTCCCCTCCCCTCCTCATTTCTGAGGCTTCTCACCTCTAACCCTTCCCCCACCCCCTCCAGCAAATCAGGAGTTTGTCCTCACTTCAAACATCTGGAATTCTCTGTGTTAACTCTTTCTGGACACTTTGTGAGACATCTGAGAGGACAGTCAGAGGAACAGTTATGATTACAGTCGGCAATTTTTATTAAATCTCTTTTGATACAAAACAACCCAGTAACAAGTTAACAGCACAGAAACGTGTAAGGTAAAAAGTGAGGGTCCTTCCTTGTACCCTGGTCTCTGTATGCTCTATTCTCGCTTCCAGGGGTAGGAAGTGGTAATGATTTGGCCATTTCTATCATTCACCAAGATGGACTAATAGGTAGGTATGCAGACGACAAAATACATAGATACAAGATAGATACACAGATACATAATTTCATAGGTTTTCAAAACACTGAAGGGATCAGGTTTACAATTTGTTCTGCAACCTGTTTCTTTACTTCCTACATCTTGTCCTCCTTTCCTGGTCCAGGAGGTTCTACTTCAAGTCACAACAAACTGGGCAGTTGAAGCAAAATAAGTCCCACTCAACAAACAGCTTAAACGACAAAAGGGTTCAAGGCAATTAAAACCTGAGCAATGTCATCTTGTCCTCTGAATTCTCCCTCCTGTACTGGGTAAGGAGTTACTGGGAGAAAAAGATGTCACTTGAGGTCTAAACAAAACAACTTCCCTAAGCCCACACAGCAGAAATCTCAGCATTCTGGCAAGCCTATGGAAAATACTGTCCATTCAAGGGTTAAGAGAAGCCTGGGGACTCCATGGCTCGGCTCCTATCTGTTTATTTATTGGAAGACAAAGAGTTGTTACATAAGTTCTTTCTTCTCCATTTACTTTTGGGTGATTCCAGTCTCCAGGGGAGTTGAATAACCTTTTATTTTTCTGGACCTTTCTTCTCTTCAGGCTTTGAAGAACTTATCTAACACATTCCCTTCCCCAAACCAAAGAAGCAAGCATTCGCCACCTCATCTTACCAGGAGAGCAGCGGAAGCATAAAGCAAGGACAGGAAGCCTGCCAGGTCAAAGAGAATTTTAGTTCTAAAACTGGAAGCCAGGTACCCTGAGCTAGAGACCTATTGCTGCTCTGTTTAAAAAATGCAAACACACAGTCCTGTTCTTGCAACATCCAAAGACACAGAGAAGGAAAGACCTGTCAGTTCTGTTATTTGGCACCCTATAGCAAAAAGCAAAGCCTACTTTGTTTTACTAAATGGTGGTTAAACATGGCACAGATAGATATATACTTCACAGGATGGACAAGGGTTAGACTTTGCATACTTGCCAAGACAATGAGAACACAGCATTGTTCCCAAAGCACACAGATTTTGTCAAGGGAGAAGACCTTTCTCTCCTAAATGCTTTTATTCCTCAAACACCTCTATTTGAAATACATGAGTACCAGAGAAGATTAGAAAAAATTAAAAGCATTTATAATCCCATCACCAGTCCTAACACATTAGCCTTATTCCTCCCCCCAAAAGTTGGGAATTGTGTTCTATATCTTTTTTTTTTTTTGAAATTGAGATAAAATTCGGGTAACAAAATATCACTGGTTTCTTCATTTCAGAGGGTAAGATTCGATGATTTCTGGTTCACATTGTACATCACCACCATCTAACTCCAAAACATTCTCTTTTACTCTTACTTTTTCAGTAGTTAAAACCCTCATATAGTAAATTCAAATAGAGATGTTTATAAACTAATCCCTGAACACCTTTCCCCACAACCCCACTCCATAAAGATGGCTGCTTTAGTCATTTCTTGCATATCTTTAGTGTTTTCTGTTTCTTTTCTTTTCTTTTCTTTTTTAATAATTGAGAAAGAGAGAGGGTGAGAGAGACAGAGAGCACAGCTGGGAGGAATGACAGAGGGAGAGGGAGAAGCAGGCTCCCTGATGAGCAAGGAGCCCCACATGGGGCTCGATCCTAGGACACTGAGATCATGACCTGAGCTGAAGGCAGATGCTTATCCCACTGAGCCACGAGCCACCCGTGTTTTTGGTTTCTATACATACTTATGTAGCTGGTTTTAAAGTTGCTTGAAAATCTGGATACTACATATTTGTTCTGTAGCTGCTCTGTCCCTTATTGCAGCTACTAGTCAAAAGCAGCTACTGAGTACTTAAAAGGTGGTGTTGGTATAAAATACACATCAGGTTTTGAAGACATATATAAAAATAATGCAAAATAATTCATCAATAATTTTATATTGATTACATGCTTAAATATTTTGGATACATTGGTTCAAATAAAGTATACTATTAAAATTAATTTCACCTACTTCTTTTTACACTTTAAAGTACTTCTACTAGAAAATTTGAAATTACTATGTGGTTTGCATTGTGTCTGTTGAATAAGGCTGTTCTTTTTTTCATAAATCATTAAAATTTTTAAAATTTTATTTATCTTTTTAAATTCAACTAGCCAAGTTATAGTATATATCATTAGTTTTTGATATAATGTTCAATGATTCATTAGTTGAATAATGCTGTTCTATAGCTTGCCTTTTAAAAAATCTTAACATGTTGTCTTGACATCCTTTCCATTTTCATACATGGAGATCAATTTCATTCCTTTTAATGGCTATATAGTATTCATTTAATCATTCTATTCTTGTTGACATGGGACAGATTCTCATTTTTTTCTCTTAAAATAAAGCATATTAAACACACTCGTTAATAATGATTGAGAATTTTTATAAGTATCCTATAATGTGTGGGATAGTTTCCTAGAGGTAGAATCACATTTTGAATACCGATAGACCTGCCAAACTGATCAGCTGATGGGCTATAGAAAGAAGAGACAATATAGATATGTTATCTTGACAACCTGCCACTCAAGAATTAGACTCTCAATGATCTCAGATACACATGAGACTCAGGTTCAACTCCCCCTCCCACACAACCACACAGTCTATGGGCTTGGTGTTTGGTCCTCATCAGGAAGTTAACATAGGAGCTCCAGATTACTCAGATAATCAATTCTGGGGTAGCAGCAGTATCAACCCACCTATGTCTCTGGTGTTCCATTCCTTTTCATTGTTTGGCCTCTGGGGTATTCCCTCTTTGTATCTTTGGAGCTCAGTCAGATATTTTGTTATATGTTTTTTTAAAATATTTTATTTATGTATTTGAGAGAGAGACAGTGAGAAAGAGCATGATCAAGGAGAAGGTCAGAGGAAGAAGCAGTCTCCCCATGGAGCTGGGAGCCCAGTGCAGGACTTGATCCCAGGACTCCAGGATCATGATCTGAGCTGAAGGCAGTTGCTTAACCAACTGAGCCACCCAGGTGCTTTTTTGTTATATTTTATCCAACATTTCTAGATATATATTTTTAGATTAAATTGTAGTTGATACATAATGTTACTTTAGTTTCAATATTCAGCATGGTGATTGGACAATTCTACATGTTATGTTGTGCCCATCACAAGTGTAGCTACCATCTGTCACCATAGGACACTATTACAGTATCATTGATGGTATGTATCCTATGCTGTACCTTCATTCTCATGACCTACTCATTTTATAACTAGAAGTCTATACCTCCCACTCCCTTTCACTCATTCTGCCCATCTTCCAATTCTCTTTTCCTCTGGAAACCATCAGTTTGTTCTCTACTTATAGGGCTGATTCTGCTTTTTTTTGGTTCATTCATTTGTTTTTTAGATTCCACATTTAAGTGAAATCATATGGCATTTTTCTTTCTCAAGGTGACTTGTTTCATGAACATAATACCCTCTAGGTCTACCCATGTTGTCCCAAATGTTAAGATCTCATTTTTTATGGCTAAGTAATATTCCATTGTGTATGTGTGTTGTGTATGTGTATCAAACCTTCTTTAACCATTTATCTATCAATGGACTTGGGTGGCTACCATGTCTTGGCTATTATAAATAATGATGTAATAAACATAGGCTTGCATATATTTTTTTGAATTAGTGTTTTGGTTTTCTTTCCATAAATACCCAGTAGTGGAATTACTGGATTTTTCTATCTTCAATTTTTTGAGAAAATTCCATACTGTTTTCCACAGTGGCTGCCCCAATTTGCATTTCCACCAACAGTATATGAGGGCTCCTTTCTCTTCACATCATCACCAACACTTGTAATTTCTTGATTTTTTTTTTTTATACTAGCCATTCCAGCAACTGTAAGGTAATATCTCAATGTAGTTCTTTGATTTGCATTTCCCTTATTAATGATGTTATGCATCTTTTCATGTGTCTGTTGGCCATCTGCAGGTCTCTTTGGGAAAATATCTATTCAGGTCATCTGCCCATTTTTTAATCAGATTACTTGGGAGTTCTTTTGGTATTGAGTTGTATAAGTTCTTTATATATTGTATATCAACCCCTTATCAGATATATCATTTGCAAATATCTTCTCCCCTTGAATAGGTTGCCTTTTCATTTTGTGGATAGTTTCCATCACTGTGCACAAGCTTTTTATTTCAGTGTAGCCCCAATAGTTTATTTTTGCTTTTGTTTCCCTTGCCTGAGGAGACATGTCTAGAAAAATGTTTCTATTGCTGATGTTAAAGAGATTATTGCCTATGTTTTCTTCTAGGAGTTTTATGGCTTCAGGTGTCACATTTAGGTCTTTAATCCATTTTTAGTTATTTTTGTGTATGATGTACGAAGGTGGTCCAGTTTCATTCTTTTACATATAGATGTCCAGTATTCTCAGCATGATTTATTAAAGAGGCTGTCTTACCTCATTGTATATTCTTGCCTCCTTCGTCATAGATTAACCATATAAATGTAGGTTATTTCTGGGCTCTCTACTCTGTTCTACCGATCCATGTATCTGTTTATGTGCCAGTACCATACTGTTTTGATTATTCTAGCTTTGTAGTATCTTGAAATCCAGGATAGTGACACTTCTGCTTTTGTTCTTCTTTCTCAAGATTGCTTTGGCTATTTGGGGTCTTCTGTGTTTCCATACAGGTTTTAGAATCATTTCTTCTAGTTCCATGAAAAATACAACTGATGTTTTCATAGGGATTGCAATGAATCTGTAGATTGCTTTGGGTAGTATGGATATTTTAACAATACAAATTCTTCTTATCCATGAGCATGGTATGTCTTTCTATTTGTTTGTATCATCTCAGTTTCTTTCAAAAATGTTTTGTAGTTTCCAGAGTACAGGTCTTTCATGTCCTGGGTTAAGTTTATTCTAAGTATTTTATTCTTTTGGTACAATTGTAAATGGAATTATTTTCTTAATTTCTCTTTCAGCTATTTCATTATTAGTGTATAGAAATGCAAAAGATAGCTGAATATTTTGCATCTTGCAACTTTACTCAGCTTATTACTTCTAATGTGTGTGTGTGTGTGTGTGTGTGTGTAATCTTAGAGTTTTCTATACATAATATGTCGTCTGCAAATAAGGACGTTTTAACTTCTTCCTTACCCATTTGGATGCTTTTTATTTATTTTTCTTGTCTGATTACTGTGGCTAGGACTTTCAGTACTAAGTTGAATTAAAGCAGTGAGAGTGGACATCCTTGTTTTGTTTCTGAGCTAAGAGCAAAATCTGTTTTTCACTTCTGAGTATATCAGCTGTGGGTGTGTCATATATTGCCTTTATTAAGTTGAGGTATGTTTCCTCTAAGCTTACTTTCTTGGAAGTTTTAATCATGAATGAATGTTGAATTTTTTCAAATGCTTTTTCTGCATTTATTGAGATGATCGTGTGATTTTTATCCCTCATTTTGTTAATGTGGTGTATCACATTGTTTTCTGGATATTGAGCCCTCCTCTCATATCCAGAATAAGTCATACTGAATGATCCTTTTAATGTATTGTTGAATGTCATTTACCAATATTTTGTTGAGGATTTTTGCATCTATGGTCATCAGGGATATTGCCTTACAATTTTTTTTGTTTGTTTGTTTGGGCTTTTTTTCCCAGTGTCTTTGTCTGGTTTTGGTATCAGGGTAATGCTGGTCTAATAGAATATATTTGGAAGCTTTCCTTCCTATTTTTTTTTGAGTAGTTTGAGGAGAATAGGTATTAACTCTTCTTTAAGGTTTGGTAGAATTCAAATGTGAATCCATCTGGTCCTGGACTTTTGTTTGTTAGGAGTTTTCTGATCACCAATTCCATTTCATTATTAGTAACTGGTCTGTTTTTCCAATTCAGTTTTGGAAGGTTGTATATTTCTTGGTATTTTTTCATTCTTCTAGGTAATTTATGATCCAATCTGTTGGCATATGGTTTTTCATAGTAGTCTCGTATAATCCTTTGCATTTCTGTGGTGTCAACTATTCTCTTTCTTTTTTTTTTATTTATTTTTATCTTTTTATTAACACATAATGTATTATTTGTTTCAGGGGTACAGGTCTGCGATTCATGAGTCTTACACACAATTCACAGAAAAATATGGAACACTTCATGAATTTCAATGTCATCCTTGCACAGGTCTCATGCTAATCTCTGTATCATTCCAGTTTTAGTATAAGTGCTGCCAAAGAGAGCACTATTCTCCTCTTTCACCTATGATTTTAATTATTTGAGTCCTCTTTTATTTTTCTTTGATGGGTCTGGCTAAAGGTTTATCAATTTTGTTTATCTTTTCAAAGAATCAGCTCTTGGTTTCATTCATCCTTTCTTTTTTTTTAAGATTTTATTTATTTATTTGACAGAGATCACAAGTAGGCAGAAAGGCAGGCAGAGAGAGAGGAGGAAGCAGGCTCCCTGCTGAGCAGAGAGCCCGATGCAGGGCTCAATCCCAGAACTCTGGGATCATGACCTGAGCCGAAGGCAGAGGCTTAACCCACTGAGCCACCCAGGCGCCCCTCTTTTTTTTTTTTTTAATCTTTCTCCACTTTATTGTAATTTTTAAAATTTCTTTTCAGCATAACAGTATTCATTGTTTTTGCACTACACCCAGTGCTCCATGCAATCCGTGCCCTCCTTAATACCCACCACCTTGTTCCCCCAACCTCCCACCCCCGGCCCCTTCAAGACCCTCAGGTTGTTTTTCAGAGTCCATAGTCTCTCATGGTTCAACTCCCCTTCCAATTTCCCTCAACTCCCTTCTCCTCTCCTTCTCCCCATGTCCTCCATGTTATTTGTTATGCTCCACAAATAAGTGAAACCATATGATAATTGACTCTCTCTGCTTGACTTATTTCACTCAGCATAATCTCTTCCAGTCCCGTCCATGTTACTACAAAAGTTGGGTATTCATCCTTTCTGATAGAGGCATAATACTCCATAGTGTATATGGACCACATCTTCCTTATCCATTTGTCCGTTGAAGGACATCTTGGTTCTTTCCACAGTTTGGCGACTGTGGCCATTGCTGCTATAAACATTGGGGTACAGATGGCCCTTCTTTTCACTACATCTGTATCTTTGGGGTAAATACCCAGTAGTGCAATTGCAGGGTCATAGGGAAGCTCTATTTTTAATTTCTTGAGGAATTTCCACACTGTTCTCCAAAGTGGCTGCACCAACTTGCATTCCCACCAACAGTGTAAGAGGATTCCCCTTTCTCCATATCCCCTCCAACACATGTTGTTTCCTGTCTTGCTAATTTTGGCCATTCTAACTGGTGTAAGGTGGTATCTCAATGTGGTTTTGATTTGAATCTCCTTGATGGCTAGTGATGATGAACATTTTTTCATGTGTCTGACAGCCATTTGTATGTCTTCATTGGAGAAGTGTCTGTTCATATCTTCTGCCCCTTCTTTGATATGATTATCTGTTTTGTGTGTGTTGAGTTTGAGGAGTTCTTTATAGATCCTGGATATCAACCTTTTGTCTGTACTGTCATTTGCAAAGTCAATGTACAGAAATCAGTGGCTTTCTTATACACTAACAATGAAAATACAGAAAGGGAAATTAGAGAATCGATTCCATTTGCTATAGCACCAAGAACCAGAAGATACCTGGGAATAAACCTAACCAAAGAGGTAAAGGATCTGTACTCGAGGAACTACAGAACACTCATGAAAGAAATGGAAGAAGACACAAAAAGATGGAAGACCATTCCATGCTCTTGGATTGGAAGAATAAACATTGTTAAAATGTCTATACTGCCTAGAGCAATCTATACTTTTAATGCCATTCCGATCAAAATTCCACCGGTATTTTTCAAAGAGCTGGAGCAAATAATCCTAAGATTTATATGGAATCAGATGAGACCCCAAATTGCTAAGGAAATGTTGAAAAACAAAAATAAAACTGGCGGCATCACGTTACCTGATTTCAAGCTTTACTACAAAGCTGTGATCATCAAGACAGCATGGTACTGGCATAAAAACAGACACATAGACCAGCGGAACAGAGTAGAGAGCCTAGATATGGACCCTCAACTCTATGGTCAAATAATCGTCAACAAAACAGGAAAAAAATATACAGTGGAAAAAAGACAGTCTCTTCAATAAATGGTGCTGGGAAAACTGGACAGCTATATGTAGAAGAATGAAACTCAACCATTCTCTTACACCGTACACAAAGATAAACTCGAAATGGATAAAAGACCTCAACGTGAGACAGGAATCCATCAGAATCCTAGAGGAGAACATAGGTAGTAACATATTCAATATCAGCCACAGCAACTTCTTTCAAGATATGTCTCCAAAGGCAAAGGAAACAAAAGCGAAAATGAACTTTTGGGACTTAATCAAGATCAAAAGCCTCTGCACAGCAAAGGAAACAGTCAACAAAACAAAGAGGCAACCCACGGAATGGGAGAAGACATTTGCAAATGACAGTACAGACAAAAGATTGATATCACTCATCTTTTCTATTTCTACTTCTCATAGTTCTACTCTGATCTTTATTATTTCCTTCCTTCTGTTAACCTTTTTCTTCTTTTTCTAGTTTCTTTAGGTATGAGGTTAGATTATTTGAAATTTTTCTTGATTCTTGAGGTAGGCCTATATCACTATAAACTTCCCTCCTAGAACTGCTTTCACTGCATCCCAAAGATTTTGGACTACTGTGTTTTCAATTTCATTTGTCTCCAAGTATTTTTTCTTTTCATCTTTGATTTCTTTGTTGACCCCCTTGTTGTTTAGGACCATGTCATTTATCTTCCAAATGTTTGTTTTTTCCAGTTTTATTATAGTAATTGATTTCTAGTGTTATACCATGAAAGCTGCTTGCTATGGTTTCAATCTCCTTAAATTTATTGAGACTCATTTTGTGGTCTGACATGTGATCTATTCTGAAGAATGTTCCACGTGCACTGGAAAAGAATGTATATTCTTTTGTTTAGAGGGGATGTTTTATATATGTATGTTCAGTCTATCTGGTCTAATGTGTCATTCAAAGACATTCTTTTTTTTTTTTTCAAAGACTTTATTTATTTGACAGACAGAGATCACAAGTAGGCAGAGAGCCCGATGCAGGGCTCGATCCCAGGACACTGGGATCATGACCTGAGCCAAAGGCAGAAGCTTTAACCCGCTGAGCCACCCAGACACCCCTCAAAGACATTCTTGATTGATTTTCTGATGGGTGATGTAAATAGGGTTCTACATTTGTTTCTGTTTTAAGATTTATTTATTTGTTTTAGAGAGAGGGGGAAGGAGTAGAGAGAGAGGGAGAGAGAAACCTAAGTTTCATGTGCTCAGCATGGAACCTGACACGGGGCTCGATTCCACCACCCCAAGACCAGACCCAAGCCAAAACCAAGAGTCCCATGCTCAACCGACTGTGCCATCCAGGGGCCCCTAGATCTGTTTTTAAGTTCAAGTACAGTTGTCACACAAGGTTACATTAGTTTCAGGTGTACAACATAATGATTCCACAAGTCCTAGATATTTTTGTAACTAAAGATTCTCTAGGTCATTCTGACCTTAATAGTGCCAGAAATGGAATTCTGTCTCCTAGTTAATTTGAAATTGTCACTTTCATTTTGTACCTAATTCCCGTATCTTTCTGAACCTTTGATGGAATGTTCTATTCTAGAACAAACATTTTTACAGTTCCTGATGTGCACTGCCAGCTTGCTTTCAGAAGGGCCAATTACCTCCCTATTGGTAATTGTTTGCAAATCCTGGGAGTTGTTTTCTAAAGAAATCTTTGCCAAATGGATTGCCAGGTGGATAAAGAAAATGGCTTTAAGTGTTGATGTTATTTCTGTCCCTTTTTATTTTGATGAGGGTGGTCATTTTCATCTATTTCTTTAGTTCTTGGTGTTTTGTGAGTTACCTGCTCATGTCCACTACCTGACTTAGAGGGTGACTCATTTTTTTCTTAGGTGAGAACCAGACCTAGGAAGTGACTGCAGGGGAGCAGCATAGCTGCTCTGAGATCACCTGCCCGGCCGCCTCTGTCTCAACCCAGCTGGCTCAGATTCAGGTTTACAGGTCAAAGAACAGCCAGAAGCACAGGATTTTGGTGGGTGGTCCTGCAAATAGTGCAGCTGACGCAGAATCTGCTGGGTTACGGGGGTGTGAAGGGGGGCAAGGGTGGCTCTATCAGGTCATCCACATGGACAGGCCCTCAGATTCAGTAGCTGACAACTGAACCTAGATCAGAAAGAAAAACAGCCAAAGCAAACAAGTTTTGGTAATTTCCCTCTTCTGTAGCTCATGTTTTCTCTCAGTAGAATCCTGAGGGTAAAAACAAATCAGAGGACCTACGTCTATTTAGGAAGACTTACTATTCTGCTCCTGGGCAGACAGGTTCCAATAAACTGTAGACATACTCAGATAAAGCTACACCAATCAGCCATAGTTACGACTTTCATTTAAAACCTAACAACTTGGGGGGCGCCTGGGTGGCTCAGTGGGTTAAGCCGCTGCCTTCGGCTCGGGTCGTGATCTCAGGGTCCTGGGATCGAGTCCCGCGTCGGGCTCCCTGCTCAGCAGGGAGTCTGCTTCCCTCTCTCTCTCTGCCTGCTTCTCTGTCTACTTGTGATCTCTCTCTGTCAAATAAATAAATAAAATCTTAAAAAAAAAAAACTAACAACTTGGGGCGTGTGGGTGGCTCAGTAGGTTAAAGCCTCTGCCTTTGGCTCAGATCATGATCCCAGGGTCCTGAGATCGAGCCCTGCGTGGGGCTCTCTGCTCAGCAGGGAGCCTGTTTCCAGGATTCCATCCAGGAGTCCATGTTACATTTAGCAGTCATGTCCCCTGAATCTAATCTGAGATAGCTTCTCAGACGTTCCTTATTTTTCATGACCTTGGCGTATAAATTATTCCTCAATTTGGGTCTGTCTGATGTTTCTTTTATGGTTAGAAGGGAAGATTACTTGAACTATTATTAATGTTAAGGGCTCTAAAAGTGAAAAAGAAAGTAATCTGTCATCTGTTTGCTGACTGAAATGCCTGCTGGCCATTCTATTTTGGTTTGTTCTCTACATAACTATTAAACCATGCTCCACTAACTCAGTCATTTTTCTTTTATGAGAACTTGGGTTTTTTCATTTGTGGATGGCTAGAACCTCAATCTGACTCCAATTCTTAGCATTCTTAGGAAGAGTGTCATTTGTACTTACAGAGAAAGGTCTAAATAAACA